TAATGAATGTAAAATTCTGAACTCCGGGCCTGGCACCCATCATCGTACTATCACCCTGGGCCGTGAGCAGGGGTGAAGGCCTGCGTGAGTGCACCTGTGTGTCAAGCCACCAGTGTTTGGGTAAAGGGGAAGACAATCAAGAACCTGAGTTAGCTTGGGACGGGGGTACTTTTTAGAGAAACAGAGGTTCAAGTTACCTTATTTAAAAAAAATAGGGATTTGAAGACTTAAAGGCCAGTGACTCAGTGAAATGAAATTTAACAATAGTTACAAACCGCTCTCGGGTGTCCCACCCTATGCTGGACACCGAGTGGTGGGGGGTTAGAGAGAGGCCCAGGCGCAGGGAGAAGGCTGGGCTCTGACAGGACGTGCACCCTGCCCGCAGCCTTCTGACTTCTCTCAGTCCTCACGGCCACCCAGGGCGATGGGCCTTAGAATCCCATTTGGCAGATGAGGAAACAGAGGCTCAGGGAGGTAAAGTGACTTATCTGTACCACCTGTGATGGAGACAGAATTTTAACCCAGTCTGTCTACCTCCAAAGCTCCTAACACCCCCTCGCCCCCGCTTTGAGATTTGTCACCAAGAATCCACCCAAGACTGTGTGTGCGCCCGCGCCCGCGCCCGCACCACGGGGTTGCTGGCCGGAGGGTAGTAATGACAGGTGAGAGCAACCGGCCTCCTCACATTGTTGTGACTTAAAGAAAAACAGGAGGGAGTGAAGAGCTGAGAACAGAAGTCACAAACATGCCCCCCAACACACACATACACACGCACACGCACGCACACACGCTGGACTTATTTTTGGATTCTGGGCTGAATTATTAACTTTCTAAGGTTTTCTCTTGTCATTTTAGTTGGCAGATGAGCACTGGTTCTTCAGCTGCCCTTTATCCTTTGAGCACCAGAGGCTCCTCCGTGCCTGAGACAGTGCCAGCCCTGGGAGGCTGGAAAAATCTCTTGTAGCTACAGCATAGGGTGGGCGAGACCACCAGCCGCCCACCCCCCGCTGGGCCCCCGTGGGCCAGACCCTCTCAGCAGGGGTCCCACCTCCTCCTGCCCTGGCCCTGACTCTGACCTCATCTCTGCTCCCCTCTTCCCCCCCTCCCCCCTCCACACACGCATGGCAACCCACCTCCTCTCTCCTGACACTTCCTCTGCCCTAGTTTCCAGGACGTGGTCCGTGCAACCATCTGCACTTAGCGTGCCCCCACTTCTCTGACCTCCCCAGAACGAGCAAAGGCTTTGAGGTCAGACAGAATGGGGTGGATTCGACTGCCACTTACTAGCTCTGTGACCGTGGGCAAGTTACTGAGCCCAGCTATGCCTCAGTTCCTGCTAGGATTTGGGATCAGAAGGTTCTTGTGGGGACTAAGATCGTGTCTGGAAGACATTCGTAAGTATTATTGTGTGAAGTTGCGTGTTGTGTGAAGGAAGGCTTCAAGGCGGAGGTGACATCTGAGCGGGGTTTTGATGGATGGAGTCTACTTGCTAGGCAGGGGGGTATGAAACAGCACAGCATGCTGGGAGGAGCAGAGGTGGTTTCCAGTTGCTGGGAAGTCAGAAGCAGCTAAAGAGGAGGGCAGGAAGCAGATTTCAGAGATCGAGTCAGCAGTTCCCCAGCCAGCCTGGGCTCTTCCGTGGGCAGCTTTGGACTGCCCTCGTTCTAAGCCACTCAGCCGTCATTAACACCCGCAGGCTCTGCAGGCCCTCACCGCAGGACCTTCGCACACACCACGCCCCTGCTGGGAGTGCCCTCACCTCATTCCCGCCAGTACACTCCTGCTCCTTCCGGAAGCCTATGTCACTCGTGCTGAAAGGAAGTGTCTCCCTTCTCTCAAACTCCGTCACTGCCATTCTACCCCCGGGACCTGGATTGCAGACTCCAATATCTGGAGAGCTGACACACAGTAGGTGTTCAATAAACGTTAAGATGCTGAGCACCTGCCTCTCAGACATGCCCAGAATTTGCCAGTTTATGGGCACTTTCACCCCATGATTTGATCGGAGGCAGAGATCACTATTATTAACGTTCATGAAGCAGATGCCAAGACCAGAGACGAAAAGTGACTTGTCCAAAGCCACACAGCAAAATGATAAAAGAGCTAGGTGCTTGAACCCAGGCCTTCTGCTCTAACTACAGTGAAATCATCATTGTTACCCCCGATATGGCCATTTCTTGAGCATCTACTCTGGTCCGGTGCTTTAGGGGCATGATCTCTTCCAATTCTCAGATGACAAAATGGGGACTCCAAATCCCCAACCTTCTCCTGTGATGGGGGGATGACTATAGCCGCGCTGTCCAGACCCAAGGAGAGCATGGAGCCTGGTGCCGGGCCACCGCCCACCTGAAGCAGTCAGTTCTTTCCCTGAAGCCCTGGGCAGCACCCTGCTTGACACTGTCCTCTGGGAGGTCACTCACGGGGGGGGTGGGGGTGGGGGGTGGCCCCCACCATGGTTAGGCTGACCAGCGGCGACGGCAGGGAGAGAGATGCTGGACTCTGTTTGATCCCTATGCCTAAACCTCTGCCTCCACGCTCACCTCCTCCAGGTAGTCTTCCCCCCTGAGAGCAGGAAGGGACCTTGTGGACCATCCCCCTCTCTGCCCCCATTTCACAGGGGGGGGAAACCACAGCCCAGAAGGGAAGGCCCAGGAGGCCTCCTGGCTCCTAGCTCAGGACCCCTTAGGCCCTGCTCTGCTGCTGGGACCACACTCAATACACACTATGCTGTCCATGCCTCCTGCTGAGGGCGGCAGGCATTCAGGGCCTCGGGCTCAGGCTTTAAAACAGAACACCTGGGTCCCTGTGGGCCCTACGAGATGGCCACAGCTAGCCCTGCCCCCCCACCGAGGCACTGGGGGCTTGCCAGCCCGGGTGAGGTGGGCGTTGTGTCCGATTTGCTGGCTCTTTGCACACTCTTTTCCAAGTGCTTTCCAAATATCAGCTCTTCATTATGACATCAACCAACTGAGAATGCCCTCCTCTTAGAGTGGAGGGAGCCCAGGACATATGTACCATTATAATCCCCATTTTACAGGGAGGGAAATGGAAGCTCCGAGATGCTGAGGATGGACTGGAGGTGAGACAGCGTGGGGGGGGTGGGGCTGGGATTTGGACCTGGACCGTCTGACCCAGAGTCTCCCGTCTTAACCTCTACCCTGCGCTGCTCTCTTGAACTCAAGTCTGTGCCCTCCACCCTGCATTCCCTGAGGTCTGGACTCCACATTTCCTCTCTGAAGGTGGAAAAGGCTTTGGGTGGGAAAAGGCTCCAAGGGAGTGTACAGAGGTTTTATGAATGGAGCCCTGTGTGAAGGCTTGTTGTTATTTAAATATCACGAATCTAAGCCATTATAAAACATCATGGTTATCAGCTAAACCTGTCTTCATGGAAAAGTCACCGTACCTCTCTGAACTGTGGTTTCCTTTTCTGTAACAGGAGAATAATGCCCTCTGTCATCTAATGCAGGTAACCTTTGAGATGGCTCCCAGTGATCCCCATCTCCTGGTATTCATGTCCTTGTGTAGTTCCATCCCTTTAGTGTGAACTAGACCTAGTGTGACTCACGTCTAGTGAACAGAATATAGCCAAAGTGATGGGATGCCCACATGGCAAAGGACCTGAGGGGGGCTTCTGGCCAACAGCCAGTGAGGAACTGAATCCTGTCTAGAGCCACGCGAGTGAGCTTGGAAGCAGGTCCTTCCCCAGCTGAGCCAGCCTTCAGATGAGAACATAGCCCAGAGGCACCCAGCTAAGCCATGCCTGGATTCTTGATCCACAAAAACTACGAGATAATAAATGCTGCTAAGTTTTGGAGGGTGTCTGTTAATGCAGCTATAGGTGACTAATATACTTGGTGTTTTTCTACTCAGTGCCAGGCCCTATTCTGCCCATACAAGTATTCAAGATACATTTATTGAGCGCCACTGTGTGCCAGGCACTGTCCCCAGTATAAGGTTTGCAGTGATAAACCAGACAGATGTTATCCCCACTCTCAGAGACCTCAAGGCTGAATTAAGGAGACAGATTTGTGAACGGACAGTATGAGCAGTGCTGTGGGAGCCCAGGGCAGGCACCTGACCCAGCCTGCAGAAGTCAGGGGAGGCTTCCCGGAGGAGGGGATGCCTGAGACAAACCCAAGACTGGGGAGAACCTCCCAGTCAAAGGTGGAGCAGAAGGGCATCATAGAAAGAGGCCAAGAGAGTGGCAAGGTGAGCTATAAGGAGACTTGCCCACTGGGGGGACACAGGGAAGCAGGCTGTAGCAAAAGCATGTCTGGAAGGGGGTACTTGGCAGAGAGAGAGCAGAGAGGAAGAGCATGGAGGGTCTCAGGTGCCCACCAGAGAGCCTTGGACTTATCTGCCAGGCAGTGGGGAGTTACCAGGGGTGTAAGCAGCTCAGGGTCGTGGCTGATAAGACTGAGCAACATGATGCTGGCAGCAGGGTGGAGGACCAAGCAGAAGGGTCAGGCAGGAGGGCAGGGACCCAGGCGGGATGATGGCAACTAACTAGTCAGGCAGGAAATGACGGAGGCTGGGCTGGCAGAGGGAGGCTGGGGAGGAGTGGCTAGATCTCAGAGATATGGGCAGGCCGAATGGACAGGGATTTGGGGTCTAAGTGGATGGGGAAGGTGGTGTGAGGGGGAGGAGGGAGGAGGTAAGAATGCTGCCCACGTTGGGTTGTGCGGTTGGTTGTGCCATTTACTTAGGCGATGTGCACAGGCGCTTGGACAGGTACTTGCTGGGAGAAGCAAGACGAGAGGATGAGTTGGCCAACGCGGATTTTGCGGCGTTGCCAGAAAAGAAACCTAGGCAGACTGCCCCGCTAGGAAGCAGGTCCACGCCCTAGCAGAGAAAAGCTACAGGCCTGGTCTGGGAGAGGCGCCCTGGAAGGGTGTCCCGGAAGCCAAAGGGCCGGGGTTTGGGGAGAGTCTGCGGGGACGTCCCTGCAGACGTTGGGGGCCACGACCCCAGCCCTCCCGACCTGGGGACGGGTCACCCACCTGCTGCCCGTAGCCCAGCGCCTTGTCGTAGAGCGCGATGCCGGCGGCCAGCACCTGCGCCCGCTCCTCCGGGCTGGCGCAGCCCACGTCGAAGCCGTGCGCATAGCCTTGCTCGGCCAGGCAGCGCGCCGCCCGGCGCTGGGGGTCCCCCGGCGCCTCGCGCTCCGCCGCCAGGCCCATGAGGCCGGCCAGCCGCCCGGCGCTCGCCTCCTCCTCTTCCTCCTGGCCCAGCCGCCCGTACACGTGCGCAAGGTTGGCCCAGGCGTTGAGGTTGCCCGGGTCCTCGCGGGCCACCTCGAGGAAGAGCTCGCGGGCCTCGTCCAGTTCGTCCAGGTAGAAGGCGAAGGTGCCTAGGAGGTGGCGCACGGCGGGGCGCTGCGGGGCGGCCGCCAGCTCGAGCTCTTGCTGCAAGCCGTCCCGCTGCAGCTTCAGGTCCCGGGCGCGGAGCGAGGCCGGCGAGCGCGGCTCGAAGTTCAGCTGCATCTCCAGGTGGAAGTGGCCCGGCAGGTAGTCCAGGTCGTCGATGAGGGCGTCCAGGTCCTCGGCCGTGGCCTCCGGCTCCGCCATGGCAGCCCCGCTGCTCCCCGGGCCTCGCCCCTGCCCCGGGGGCTGCGGGGGTGGGGGATGGGGGGACGTGGCTGGGGCGCCCCGGATCGAGCCCGGCGCGGAGGGCGAGGGGCAGCGCGCGCGGAAGCCCAGGGTCCTGCCGCCTCCGGGTCCCGGGGCGCCTCCCTCTGTGGGAGGGCCTGAGCGTCGGCTCCGGGAGCGCCCTGTGGGTGTGTCGGCTGGTTTCGCTGCTCAGCGGCTCTTAGACGCCAGCATTGCACAACCAGGTGCGCCAGAAAAACAGGTGCATTGCCAAGTGCAGGGCGCGCAAACCACGGTGCATGGCAAAAGGCCTGTTTTTACTCTCTCTGCCCAGCAGACGCGGAAACAGGCTCAGGAGGAAAGGACTTGCCCAGGTCACAGAACGGGAGCTGTGCCCAAGCAGCCCCGAACCCAGTTGGCTGAACCCGAGCCAGGCCCTTTCTCCGTGGGCACTTCTCCACGCTCTCTGTGTGAGCTCGCTAGTGACTTCCAGCTGCCTGCGGAAGCCCCCTCACTCTTGCTGCTTCTCCCATCCTCTCCGCAGTTCCTGTGTTCTCCTTCCCCCGCAAGGGAGCCTGCCACTTCTCTCTGCGCCTCCTTAGGCCATGATTTATCAGGCTCCCCCACTTAGGATTCCCCTGACTTCTCTCAGTCCTGCAGTTGGCCACTGTGGAAAGACTCTGGGGCTCCATGTGCTGGTTCTAATCCTGGTTCTCCATCCCTAATAACCTCTGACCTTCATAATTATGAACCCACTTCATAATTTCGCACTTGCATACTTTCTTCATCTGTGACATGAGGGTCACATTCTCTCCCCCAAGGTAGATATCCAGGGTAAACCTGGTGAATGTCACCCTGGGTAACTATCAGCAGCTCCACTGCTCCCCCTTGGTTCCCACTCCATCCTGTACACCACCTGTGGTCCAGTTTTCTTTCTCTTACCAGTCTTCCCCCAGGACTAGCACTGGTTCCCTGCCCTCGGGAAGGCTAGGCTATGCTCCCTGCGGCAAGCTGCCCGTCCTCCAGTGCCTGGGCTGTGCAGCAAGTCTGAGCTTCTGAGACCTTCCCACCCCTCATTCCACCTGGGCAGGGCTCCTGAGACCCTGTTCCTTCATCTTCTCGACAAATAGGCCAGTGTTTTCAAAAGTGGAAATAGAGCCAATTAATAAACCTGGAAAAAAAATTGACTTGAGCAATAAAAAGGTAAGTTAAAAATATCATTCTGGTGTTAGGTTTCACCTGTAATTTTACAATATAAAATTTAATACTTTTTAATAAAAAATTATTGCTATAAATTCCTGGTGATGATGAGATGACACTTGGGCTCTGACCTTCTTGGGGGCATCAGGGATAGATTCCCAGAGTGCTTGGCTTTTTTCCCCTCTTTTTATTGCGGCAACTCATACTTAACATAAAACTGACCACTTGAACCATATTTAAGTGTATAGTCAGTAGCATTAAGAATATTCCCATTGTTGGGGCACCTGGGTGGCTCAGTCAGTTAAGCGTCTACCTTCGGTTCGGGTCATGATCCTGGGGTCCTTGGATCAAGTCCCACATGGGGCTCCCTGCTCAGCGGGGAGCCTGCTTCTCTCTCTCCGTCTGCTCCTCCTCCCTGCTTGTCCTCTCTCTCAAATATATAAATAAAATCTTAAAAAAAAAGAATATTCCCATTGTCATGCAGCTATTACCACCATCCATCTCCAGAACTTTCATCTCCCCCAAAGTGAAACTCTGTACCCATTAAACAGTAACCCCCCCCCATTCCTTCCTTCCTCAAGCCACTGGTAACCACCATTCCACTTTCTGAATTTGAATTTCTCTCTGAATTTGAATACTTTAATGACCTCATATAAGTGGCATGTTATAATATTTGTCCATTTGTGTCTGGCTTATTTCACTTAGCCTCAAGGTTCATCCATGTTGTAGCCTCTGTCAGAACTTCCTTCCTTTTTAAAGGGAATAATATTTCATCATATGTATGTATATACCACACTGTGTTTATCCATTCATCCATCAGTGGACATTCGGGTTGTTTGCACCTTGGCTATAGGAAACAATGCTGCCATGACCAAGGGTATACAAATATCTGTTTGAGTCCCTGCTTTCAGTTCTTTTTGGCGATACACCAAGAAGTGGAATTGCTTGCTCAGATCAATTCTATGTTTAATTTTTTTGACGAACTGTTATACTGTTTTCCATAAAAGCTATATCATTTTACACACCCACCAACAATGCACAAAGGTTCCAAGGTCTCTACATCTTTGTCAATACTTATTATTTTCTGTTTCGTTTTGTGTTTTATAATGGCCATCCTAATGGGTGGGTTTGGCTTTTGATCTGCCTCTGAGAAGGTGAGTAGGAATTGGATGGAAAGGGTAGGCTGTGGGTACATTTCAGTGGCAGGAAGGGCACAGAGAAAGGCCAGAGGTCTGCAGCACAGGGGGTGCCTAGGGGCAGGGCAGCGCCATATGGCTGAAATGTACAGAGCATGGGCCAGAGATGGAGGGGTGAGCATGGAAGCCAGCGGGGGCAGCACCATCGTGGAGGCCTGAATCCCGAGAATCTTGACTTGACTCCGCTGACCTAACAGCTGGCTCCACAGTCCGGATGGTTAGAACCTCTTGCAGCCAGGGAGCTCCCACACCTAATGATGAGTCCCATGTCCGCCGTGTCACCCTACATCTCACTAGATGTGACCAGGGCAACTTACTCTCCCTCTCTGAGCCTTGGTTTTTTCTTCTGTGTAATGGGATGGGAGGGGGTTTCAAGAGAGAATGAGCTGGTTGCTAGGATTAGTGCGTTGCTATGATGGGGAGGCTTTGGGCTGCCGTGGGTGGGCGGGCTGCCTGGCTGCCGAGCTGACTCACCCCGGCCTGTACCTGCTCTGGCCTGCCTGGCAGCCCGGATTCCCAGCCCAATAGACCTTGGCCTAGAGTCTGTGGTCAGTCCTCCATGAGTCCTGGAGCCAAGGGGCTCAGTCGGGAGCAAAGCTGCAATGCATGCTCAGGCAGGTTCTAGCCACGCTGACAGACAGGGGCTGGTCACAGGGCCTCTCCCGTGCGCAGGACTTGCTAGTGGACACAGCCCCACTTCACGGACACCTCCAAATAGCTCCTCCACGAGGCAGCAGTCAATGTCCATGTCACAGATGAGGAAATTGAACGCTGACCAGTGTCATGTGCCCAAGGCCGCCAGCTAGAAAGCAGCAGAACCAGGATTCAGACATGACTCTCTTTGAGAATTTCTGCGTCACTGGGAAGTTACTCTAGATTAATTCCTTTATTTGTTCACTCGTCCTTCAACAAATATTTACTAAGCATTGACTCTGTGCCAGGTACAGTACCAGGAGCAGGTGAGACACAGTTTCTGCCTCCGGACCTTTGCTAGGGCCCTTTCCAACAGCTGGGAATGGCCTCTTATTGAGATTCTGCTATGTGCCAGGAGCATACTTAAATTAGCTCATTTAATCCTGCTAGCAGTCTGGAGAGACAGATTATTAGTTTCCTTTTACAGGTAAGAAAGTGGAGAATCAGAAAAGGAAACGAATTGCCCGCATCTGCACAGCTGGGAAGGGGCAGGGCCTGTGCTTAGATGACCAAGGGTGTGTGTCCCCAGGCCTGACACGTTTGCTCCTCAGCTCAGTGGTGTGGGGTGGGCACTGTGCCAGACATGGCCATGTGCCTACCTGGCCTGGGGCCTGAGAGGCCAGCCCACAGCTACGCTAGGCATCTGGACTTCCTATTTTAGTGCTAAATTGGGATGTCAGAGGGTACTGGGTGGACCCTGAAAGGAGACACACTGTTCCGGGAGCCTGGCTCCACCACGGACGGCATGTAGGACCCCAGGCAAGTCCTGTTTCTCTCTGGCTTCTGTCCTGTCATCATCAAATGGAGTGTGACTCTCTGCTGTGCCTCAGCCTAAGAACTGGGAGGATCAAAGGTAATCATGAGAGATGATATTAGAAATAGCATGACCAAGGGGCACTGATCAAGGGATAAAGGAAGAGGAGGGCAGAGAGCTGACAATACCCTGTTGGGGACTCAAGTCCGTTCTTTACCTAGCACTTCATACACACACTTAAAGATGAGTTTGGAATTCTCCTCCTCCAGGAAGCCTTCTATGACCTACCCACCTACAGGCTGGATCAGAGGCCTCCTTCTCTCACAGGCCTGGCCACACTGTGCGGTCACTCTTTCCCTCACTAGACTCTCAGGGCCAAGATCAGGCATCCTATACAGCGTCTGACCAGAGTGGGTGTCTGGGGTGTGTGGGGGACAGATGAGCCCAGCCTTCACCCCTGCAAGCCTTCCCTCCCTCTCTGTAGCCCTCCACACCCTGGCTCTCCTTGCTGGTTCCCACGTTCTCCTCCTTGCCTCCCCGAAGTGGAGAAGGAACGGGGATGCCCTCTTTGCCCGAGCTGAGCCCTCTCTGTGGGCCCCGGGGTCCCCACGAGCGTCCGTTAACTGTACTAGGCATTTCGGAGCCGCGCTCTACCAGGCTCCGCGCCGCGCGCTGGGATACAGCAAGCAATCAGAAAGGGCTCCTCCACAAATGACTCTGAATCCTGACCACATGGCATCCATACTAACCACCGCGAGGGGCCCTTAAACCTGCAGGGCTCAGCAGAGGATCTCCCGCAACGTGGCGGGAGAAATGCGCAGAGCAGAAGCAGAAAGGCAGGGGGCGCCCAGTGGGCCCGGCCGCGCACAGATCTCGGGCGAATCACAGGTCACAAAGGGGGGTTGCCGCGGCAGCGGTGGCCCCCACCTCAGCCGGAGGAGTCCCGCGGCGCGAGTCCCGACCAAGGGGCGGCGGGGCCATGGGCACCAAGTGGTTCAGCGGGGCGCCCTTCGGGGTGCAGAGCCACAGGTGGGCCCCTCCTCCCCGAGGCGCGGCTGGAGCCTGGGGGAGGAGGGAGCGACGGGAGGGGGCCTGGCAGGGAGGCGTGGGGGCCCGCCTTTCTCTTCGGGCCACACCTGCTGCACTTCTCGCCCCGGGTTCGTTCGTTCACCATCCTTAAGTGATTGGAAAGCATTTCGAGAGCACCTCCTATGGGCCAGGCGCAGAGAGGCGCGGGGCGGTGGGAGGTCAGTCCGCCGAAGAGTGGTGGGCAGGATTTCAGCCCCGGGTCCTTCATCCGGACGTTTACACATCTGCGCGTACCACCTACTCTGTGCCGGGCACAGTTCTAGCATCTGTGGACACAACAGTGAACAAAAACAGCAAAAGCCTGTACTCCGGAGTTTGCAGTTCTCGGGGGGAGAGGTGGTTGGAGTAGATAATAAACAAAAAAGAAAAACAGGTAAAATGTTGGGTAGTGATAGGGCTATGGAGAGCAAGGAAGCTGGGACGAGGAGCTTGGGGGGGGGGGTGAGGAGAAGGTGACTTTTGAGTAAAGGCCCCAGCAGAGGGGAGGGGACCAGGCAAGGGTGGCGTCCAGCGAGAGAGAAGCAGGAAGGACAGAGACCCTGGGGTCCAGCAGCCCTGCTCCTGTTCCAGCGGTCAGCTCCTCTGGGAAGCCAACACCGCCCCCCGCAGAACTGCCCACACCAGGACCGGCTGCGGGGCTTCGGGCTCTCACCGGGCCTCTGTCCCTCCCTAGGTTTGATGTCTCCGCTGTTTACCCCAACCAGAAGAAATTCAGCACCTTCACGGAGGCCCCATACTCCAGGCTTCATTCTGTGGACCTGGTGAGTTTGTGCAACTTCCCTGCCGCCCCCCCTCCCCCCAGTGCCTGGCTGCGGGGAGGAGCTGAGTTGTGCCACAGTTGTGCCTTAACATGTCCCCAAGCCCCCCCGTTGGGAGCACAGAGCTTGGCTCAGAGCCGGGGCCTTAGATGTGTTGATAAATGCAGGACTGTGGTGAGGACAGCATGGCTTGGGGCCGCAGAGCCCTGGGGGCCATTTCCTCTTGGAAAGAACTGGCTGTGGGCTACCAACGAGGCGCTACCCCTCCCTGTTGCAGGGGAGTGTAAGGGGATCAATGACAGAGGATGTTGTGATGGTACCTTGAGTGCCATGCCCCTCGGTGCCGGGTTCGGGACTAGGGGGAGGGGCTGCAATAGGGTCCAGCCTGTCCGCCCCAAGCTCACGGTGGTGGCCTGAGGAGGAAGTCGCTCTGTGGGCAGACTGGGTGGATGTGACTGTGCTCTGACTCAGTCCCACATAGGACCTGGGACCTACAGCTCCAAGGAGACCTGCTTTAGCAAGAAAAAGCTCAAAAAGGAGGTGGGCACAGGCTGGGCCAGGGCCGAGGAAGCCGTCCGGCTGACCCAGCTGCCCCACTTCCAGTACCAGGCCATCATGAAAGAGAAGCAGCTGCAGGTGAGTCCTCCCAGGCCCAGCAGAGCTCCTCCCTTAGGGAATGCCACCACTCTCCAGACTCCCTCCTGGGTGGACATTCCCAAGTTGCAGGTTGTCACCCTCTGCTTTCTTCTCTTGGGGCAGAAGGAGAAGCTGGGGCCCGGCTCCTACAACCTCAAAGACTTCTTAGAACTGCTGAAGGAGAAGCCCTGCAGCACCCGGGGGCTGCTCAGCTCGGGGGAGATTCGTTTCCGAGGACCCATTGGGGTAGGTGTCCTCATGTACTGGGGAGGGGCCCTCCCACCCTCCCCTCCATCTGCAGAGCATGCAGCCTGGCTGGTGCTGGACGCGCCCCTCCTCGTGCCATCTCCTCCCCAGGCTAGCCAAGCTCTCCTCTGGGTCCCCCAAACCCATCTGCCTTCTGCCTTCCAGTACTACAGCCTCGAGCCCAGGGGCCATCATATATCCCTGTGCCTGTCTCCCCCACCAGCCCAGGACCTCCCTGCTGGCAGGGATGGGTCTCGTTCATCTCCGAGTCCCCAGAAAAGAGTCCAGCATACATTAGGTGCTCAACAAACGCATCCATCTATATGTCCATCTATCTAGCCAGCAAATAATGGCTGAGCACCCACTAAGTGCCATGCACTGTTCTCGGGCTTAGGGAACTGGAACTGGGGCCCTTGTGGAAGAAACAACGGTACAGAGAAGCAAATCCGATATGATCAGGACTGTGAGGAAAAATGAGATGGGAAAGGGATACAGAGTGATGGAGGTGCAATTTATAGGGTGGTGAGGGAAGACCTCTGGGAGGAGGTGACATTTGAGCAAAACCTGCAGGAGGTGAGCCCTGGAGATTCACGGTAGCTGTGGGAGAGCGTTCTAGGCAGCGGGAACAGCAGGTGCAGGCCCGGAGTTGAACCAGCGGGCAGGAGGCCAGTGTGGCTGGAGGGAGGGGCGCGGGCAGAAGGAGGAGAGATGACAGAGGAGTGAGGGCCAGAGGGCAGGACGCTGCGGCAAGGTGGGGGCTTCGGGATTGATTGCAAGCGCTGTGGGAGGACAGTGGAGGGTTTGGGCAGGGGCAAGGCCGGCTCCTGGTGGGGGAGGCTTGGAGGCATCCAGATGGGAGGTGATGGTGTGAGGGGTGGGGTGGCATCCGTGTGGGTGGGGGTGGTCATCCCATGTGGGGAGAACAGAGGGGGGTTCAAGCTCACTAAGGGCATGAGGGAGAAGGCAGAAGTCACAGCCTCCTGGAGCAGTGCGCACGCTGTGGTTTACTGAGTGTCCCTCGTCCCCGGCCCTGCTGCTCTCTGTGCTGGATGCTCTTGGTCTCCTTCCAGCTCCTTAAATGGGCCAAGCGCTTTTAACTGGGGCTTTCTTCCTGCCACTCCCTCTGCCAGAAATGCCCTTCCTCTCCCTCCCCCCGAGCTGCCCCTTGGTCAACCTTCAGCTGTCAGCTCCAAGGTCACTTCCTCCACGAAGCCTGCCTGACCCCCACTAGGTGACAGACATCTCCCTTTGCTAGGAGTCCCGATCATGGCTGTGTGCCTAGCGTCTCTGCCCCAGCGGACATCAGCCCCTGAGGGTGGACGACATCTGCCTGGTCGGCTTACTGCAGGACTGCCAGGTCTTGGCCGTGCCTGGCACACAGCGGGCACACAGTAGTTGTGGACTGAATAAGTGCACACATGCCTACTAAGTACTGGGCGTGCCCACACATTCTAAGTGTTGGCAAGCCCTCCAGGCGAGGCCCTGGAGGCTCAGGGAGGAGAAGCCTTTTGCCTCAGGCAAGCAGGGAATGTCCATCCCCAAAGCCAGGCCCTTGCTCTCCGCCTTACCACTGTGAAGCCTGGGAACTACTCTTTGCATCTTCAGGCACAGAAGCCGTCCCTGCAGCGTAGGGAGAGGGGTTGCCCTGAGGCATTCCAAACCGTGTCATTACCTTCAAATCTAAATAATAACAATTGACGCTTAAGGCAGCGCCTGCCACCTGCCAGGTGCTGTCCTAAGCACTTGCGTGCACCACTCAACCTAATCCTCACAACAACCCTGTGAAGTAGGCACTGTCACTGTCCCTGCTTTACAGATGAGAAAGCGAGCACAGAGAGCTAAGCCACCGCCCAGGGTCACAGGGCTATGAGTGGCACAAGAGGGAGGATTCGGATCCAAGGGCGCCCACACATAAGCACTGTATTTTACACATAGGTGGGCTCACTGGGATTTTGTTCCTTGATGGCCCCTGGAGGACAGTCTGGGTCGAAACCCAGCCCAGGTGGTGGCAGAGGAACAAGCCTTGATGCTTCCTTCCCGTGTCCCCAGCCCCCAGCCCCCAGCCCCGGGGCATCTGTGAGTGTTCGCTGAGTAGGGAGAAAGGTCCCGCGACCTGCCCTCCCTTCCAGAGGGCTCTTCTCCCACTTTGTCCCTCTATCTGCTCCTGCAGTAACCTCCCCCGGGCCCTGCGGGATTTTTCCAAGCTGCTCTCCTGGGCTCAGGCTTGGACAGCCAGCTCAAGGAGGTGGCCCTGCCCTGGTGGGTGGAGAAGGCAATCCCTGGGGAGCTCATGTCCAAGGCCTATTTTCTGTCTTCTTGCTGTGAGACCTGGGCTGGGAGCCTGATGGCCTCCTCTGGGCTACAGAGGCCACCTGTGCAGAGTGCGGACCCCTCCACTGGTCCAGCTAAAAAAAAATCTGTGCCAATTCCTACATTCCCACACACCTCCCCCAGAATTAATCACTCCTGCCTGGGTCCCCGAAGCGCTGACAGCCGAACATTCCAGTTAAAATCACGGACTTTCAGGGCGCCTGGGTGGCTCAGTCGTTAAGTGTCTGCCTTCGGCTCAGATCATGATCCCAGGGTCCTGGGATCGAGCCCCACATCGCATCATCGTGTTCCCTGCTCGGCGGGAAGCCTGCTTCTCCCTCTCCCACTGCCTCTTCCCCTCCCCTGCTTGTGCTCTCTCTCTCTACCCCTCTGTCAAATAAATAAAATCTTAAAAAAAAAAAAAAAAAGAAAGAAAAGAATGGACTTTCACATGAGCCCAGGTGTGGGCTACACCTTTAAACCTGAAGGGTTGAAGGAAGAGCTGAGCCCAGAGCTATGGGCTCGGCACAGTCCATGGACTCCAGACACAGCAGTCACTCTCTGTTGTAACCGCACTTCTTCTTCTTCTTTTTTTTTAAAGATCTTATTTATTTATTTGAGAGAGAGAGACAGCGCAGGGACCCAGCCTCCTCCCTGGGGCTCTTCTCCTGAGCACACCTGGAAACTCCGGGCCCTGGAAGGAGGCAACGTGGCGTCCTGTCCTCTGAGGGCAAACAGATCTGATGCCATAGTGGCCCGACTCCCCCAGCAGGGCTCCCTGCCCCCTCCATCCTGCCCTGTGGGGCTGCCTCCCCAGGGCTGGTTCCTGCCGGTGAGGGGCAGGGCTGAGCCATCTGTGGGGCGGCAGCGGCCTCGTGTGGCTGAGAGAGGCAGCGGCTACCTTGCTCCAGGTCTCTATCCGAGGACTACCTCCCCCACCAACCCGCCCACCCCCCTCACTCCACCTACAGAGACCATACTTCCAACCCTGGCAGTGGAACCCCCAAATACTCACTCCATCTCTCCTACCCCCTCAATCTCTCCTCCTGACCCCTAAGACAGGCATCCCACCCTGACTTAAGTGTTGGTGCCCAGTATGGGCTGAGCACTATGAAGGAGGTTTTATGGACATTATTTACTTTTCTCCTCATTACCTTGGAAGAAAAGTATTACTATCTCCACGTTACACTTGTGGACCCTGAGGCTTAGAAGGACTAAGTGGTATGCCCAAGGCCACTCAGCTATGCAGCAGCAGAGCCAGGATTCAAACCCAGGAATCCAGATCCTTCCAGGTCACAGCACGCTCATAGCACAGTGAGAACCCTATTCGTGCAAATGCAGGGCTATAAAATGGGCGTAACAGATGGCATTTCTAAGACCACCAAAGCCAGTGACTGTCTGGGGTGATAGGGAAGGAAGGCTCCATACCCAGGAGAGATGACATTTGCGCTGGCTTTGCAGAATTAGACTTTTCTTTTCTTTTCTTTTTTTAAAGATTTATTTATTGGGGGGGGGGGGACTGTGCACACACCTGTGGGCGGGGAGGGGCAGAGGGAGTGGGAGAGGGGAAGCAGACTCCCTGCTGAGCGAGGAGCCCTGCCGGGGGCTCCATCTCCCAACCAGGAGATCAAGACCTGAGCCAAAATCAAGAGTTGGACGCTCAACCGACTGAGTCACCCAGGTGCCCCAGAATTAGCATTTTCCAAGGCAAAGAAGGCAGGTAGGGCATTTTGGGTGGTGTTAACAGCACAAGCAAACACAGGCAAGGAGGTTGGCAGAATAGTATGCATTTGGCAACCGGCAAGGAACCCAGTTCAGCTGGAGGGTGGGATGTAGGAAGGGAGCAGTATGAAATAAGTTGGACAGGCCAGTGGGGCCCCAGGGAAGAGTCTGAACTGGGACTGAAGGTTTGAGCAATGGTGGAGCTGTGTTGAGACCAACCATGTTGTGTGTTGAGGGTCAGTTAACGGGGGCCCTGAACATCCCATTCCCCTCCCAGGGGCTTCTCTTCCTCAGACACCCTCCGCATAAGGAGAGGGACTGATGACCTTTATGTCCCTCCCCCCCTCCCCCCACAGAACTACTATCCAGGCCCTGGAAATTATGGGGTGAAGGGCAACCCATACACAAAGCTGGAGGAGAAAGCCTGCAGCCGCTTTCATTCTGAGGGCCTCATGTGTCGGGTGACCAACAAGGCGCCCCCCACGGCTCATCAGGTACTCCTTCACCTGGCCGACCCTTGCCTGCCTTCCTGCACAGTCCTGGGGCAGCCGGGGTGGGGGACTCCTGGGGCAGATGGGGAAACTGAGCCCCCCCCCAGGGAGGGGGGCGATGGGCCTGCTTCAGCGGTTCTCCTGGGGGACTGTCATCTGTGTTCTGTTCTAGGGGAGTGGTCTGGCACCAGGCACCTACTCTTTCAAAAGTGGCATTGAGGCGTACCTGGCAAAATCCGTGGGCACCCGCGGCTTTTACGACACGTTCTCTGGTGACCGCAGCAAGCCCCAGCCTTACGGACATTACTCGGTGCAGGTGTGTACCCAGGTGAGGCGTGGAGCCTGCGTTCCCCGTGTGTACCCAGGTGAGGCCCCGTGGAGCATGCCGGCCGGCCTCACTCCCCGACACCGGGCCACCACCAGCCCGTGTGCTCACCGCGCTCACGGCCATGCCGCTGGGAAGGAGCAGAGCTGGGATCTGAACACCAGCACGTCTGTCTGACTTCACCTGCCTGAACCGCAGAAGAGGCACAGAGCGTCACGATGCCAGGGCTGCATGCGACACCGGCCACGGGGCCACGGGGCCCTTGATGGCGCAGGTGTGGGTGCCCGGCTATTTTGGAAGCACGGGCCAGGGGTCAGAGGCCCAGCTCACTGACCACGTTAGCGACAGTGCTGTTAACGAGCCAGAGACCTGGAGGGCTGGGAGGAGGGGGAAACCGAGGTAGAATTTTAACTTGCTGCCCCCCTTCCCTGCCCCCGTCATGCTCCTGTCGTGTGGTCCGCGGCACGCTGGAGTTAGGTCTCTGCCCCACGGCCTGCTCGTTTTGTCTCCACTGTGCATTCCCTCGCTGTGTAGCTTGGGGCCAGGTCCGAGTGGCAGGTATGACCGCCCTTGTGGCACTTCTGCTCCCCTGGCAAAGGACACACAGTCATGAGCGAACACCCCACAGAGTGTCGGCAGGTGGTGAGGACAGGCTGCTGGTGGTGAAATGTTGACATACATCCCCCCGTTCGGCGACTCACCGCGGAATAAGCCCTCGCACCTGACTCCTCACCAGGGCCTCCCAGACGCCCCCACGACCAGCTACTGACGTGATCCCGTCCAGCATAGCAGGGGCGGTGGGAGAGAATATTTGTTATTATCTAAAGAATAATAGACTTTACTTTTTGGAGCATTTTTAGGTGCACAGCACACTTGAGCAGAAAGCCCAGCGTTCCTAAGCCTCCTCAGTGCCCCCTCCACGCCCGGCCTCCCCCACTGGCCACATCCCACCCCGGAGTGACAGACAAGGTACAATATACTGACATCATTGTCACCCAAAGTCCACCGTCCGCCTGAGGATTCACTCTTGGGATTGTGTCTTCTACAGGTTTGGACAAATGTGTCCGTCATTATAGTACCCTAGAGAGTAGATCACAGCCCTAAAAATCCTCTGTGTTACCCCGTCACGCCGGTTTTTAGACATTTGGACCACTGCTCCTGCTGAGAACAGGGCGCGTGCCGTAAATGCCGTTGAAATGAGCACAAAAATGAAGGACATGCAAACAGACTCCAGTGACGTTGTCCGGGGTGCACGGATGTGGAGGCTTCGAGAGACGCTGTGAGACTCACTTTGCCCCTGGCCGGGGCTGCGTCTCTGGCCACCCAGCCAGGGGCCCTGGGGAGGCAGGCTGGAGAGTGATGCCTCCTTGTATGGCCACCTGCTTTTCTCTGCTGCTGAGGATCCAGAGAGAGGGCTCGGATTTTCCTGGCCTAACAGACACCTTTTTCTTTTTCTTTCTGTTTCTCAGAAAAAAAAGCCCAGGGAACTGATGAACTTTACGAGCTTCGTGGAAGAACTTAACTCACGTCACAATAAGAAGCATGGGGTTTTTTCGAAAATTTCTCGCAACCCGGAAACCCCTACAGAAAGGATTTACTGGGCCACCCTTAGCCAGTGCCCCCGAAAACTAGTCAGTGCCCGCCCATGACCTTCCTTCCTTCTTCTCTTGGGAGGGGGCTCTCCTTTGGGGCCGGCATGGGATGGGGCTGGCTATTTCAGGGGAAAGCTCAGCCTTGGGTATCAGACCCATGGTTTCCAGTCCTGGTCTTGCCCGTCTTGTCACTCTGAGTAGTCCCTCCCACTCTCTGAGGCTCAGTTACTCGTTTGTCCTCTGAGCATAACCAGGTGGCTTGAGAGAGGTGAAGGACTGGAGCTGGAGCGTGGGGCCTGGAACCCACCAAATGCCCATCTCTCTCCTGGAGGGAGGCTGAGGGAACATGGGGCAGGGCAGAATGTGAATATGGGGTCTACCCCGACAGGGGACTGCCCACCTGCTCCCTCCAAGGGAACGGAGCACTCCTCTCTGGGTGTGGGGCAGCCGGTGACCTGGATAGACCCCCTGGGCAGGACCTGCCCCCGAGGGAGAACTCCTCAGGGCTTGGGAAAGAGTAGGGTCCAGAGGAATGAAAAAGGGTGCCACCATTTCCTGAATGCCTGCTCTGGGCCAGGCACCTTCCAGCACCCCAAAGTAGGAGTTATCATTTGCATTTCATAAAAGGAAACTGAGGCCCAGAGATGGGAAGGGATTTGCCCAGGCTCCCCCGGCAAGTATGAGAAGGAAGCCAGGTCATCTAGCTCCAAAGTCTGTGTGGCTTTCATTTTCCATTGTAAACGCCTCTATGGCCCTGCCAGGCCATGTGGGCTCTTGGGAAGCCTGAAAGAGGTGTCAGGCTGATGGGTGGGGCTAGAGTGGGTGGCATGGGTTATGAGGGCAACACAGGGCCCCTTTACCGCCGGAGGATGGGCTCCTGTGAGTTGGAAGGTGGCTGGGTAACCCCCACCCCGTTTTTGGCTGAAGGCCTAAGGCTGCCAGGTGGATGAGGTCAGCCGCCAGGAGCCCTCACCTGCCCCAGTCCCAGGCTGACCACTGCCAGACCTCTCTCGCTTTCAGCCTTCATTTCTTACCCATAGGCCACGTCTGGTCCCGGTTCGTGGCTTCCTCCAAAGAAGGAATGCAGACACGTCAACCAGCCACCGTTCCTGCTGTCTTCCAAGCGGATGGGCATAAAGGCTTACCAGATGATTCTGGGAAGCTGGGTGAGTGGGTCTGGGGTGGGAGTTACGTGGTGATGGGCAGGGAACCCTCTCCTGCCTCCTCAGGCAGCCCTAAGCCCTCCTTGGCCCTGGGAATTGAGGCTCTGTGACAGCCTGAACCCACTTCTTTCTCCCCAAGGGACAAACACCCATTCCCACTATATTATTTCTCTAAGGCAATGGTTTCCAAACTTGAGTGGGCATTAGCATCCCCTTGGAGGGCTTGTTAGAACAGAGCGCTGGGCGCCGTGCCAGAGCGTCTGATTTGGTAGCCTGTAGTGGAGCCTGGGCATCTGCATTTCTAACACGTCCCCAGGTGATGCTGCTGCCGCCGCCGCTGCTCTGGGGAGCACACTTTGAGAACCACTGCCCTAAGGGCCGTCACCCCAGAACCATCCCATTCTCTTACTTTCCCAGGGGAATGCTCCCTCCATTCTCTTTGTATTTGTCTTGGGGCCTCTGGGGCAGCTAGTGGAGTTGGCCCCCTTCTCATGCTTGGCTGAGCGAGGATCCCTTCTGTCGCCCTCCCCCGCCCCTCCCCAGAGGCAGCCATCCCCACGTGTGCGATATAACCTTTCGTTAGTGTTCTCGTAAAACAGCTAAGCTCCTGGGTTACGTGTGCGTGCCTTCTTAATTTACACCAATGGCACTGGGCATCGACCTCATTCTCTTTCCTGCTCCTGCCCTTTAGTCTTTAAGTGCAACTTTTATTGGGTTCTAATAGTCACACAGAGAGGTGCACGAATCCTAAGGGAACAGCTCCATGAACGGCCACAGATCGGACTCATCAGTGCGACCAGCCCCCAGAGCGCTGAAGAGCCCATTTCCGGCACCCCAGCAGCCCCCACAACACATACCGCCCTCCGCGTCAGGTAGCCTCATCTTGACTTCCAGTAGTGCGGCTTAGTTTTGCCTGGCTTTGAACAACTGTTTATTTTTTAGGTCCCTCTTGGTTTCCCGGGGGACCATCCTGCTTGTAACTCACCTGCCTTCCCACGATGCTCCCGCTGCCTCCTCTCGCACCCCTCCTCCACCCCACCTGCTCACCTTCCGGAGTGATGGCTCAGCCCCCACTGTGCCCACACCCTGTTGCCCTGCCTGATTCTCAGGAGGACCAGCTGGTCAGCTCTCTGCAAGCTTCTTTTTCTCACCCCACACTGGCACCTCCTGCAGGGTAGAGGCTCTTCACGTGGGGACCCCAAATAAGAGCCAGATGCTGCTACCGCAGGGCTGGCCACTCCAGAGCGGGAGGGGCTGAGGTGAGGTCCAGGTTCCAGGGCAGGAGGCGCACCACCGGGAGCTTGCTCCCCAGTGAGACAGGCCTTTCCCTCGTGGGCAGCACTTTGGACCCTGTGAGGCTCCTGACATCTCCCAGGCTGCCATTGGCACGGCGGCTCCGCAGGGGCTGGGGTTCCTGGCCTGCCATTCTCCCGCCCTCACTGGTCATTCTGGGCAGGTGGCTTCTCCTCTCTGAACGTCTCTGTTGGCTCCTCTTGTATCTACGACCCAGGTCTCTGGGTGGGCTGGTGTATAACTTCCTACGACCGCCCTGCCACAGTTCCTCAAACTAGGTGGCTTCAGTCTATCCCGTCCCACTGTTCTGGAGGCTGGGCTGCTCCCTCTGAAACCGGCAAGGGGAATCCTTCCTGGCCTCTTTCCAGCTTGGGGTGGTGGCTGGCAAGGTTTGAATTCCTTGGCGTGTAGATGCGTCACTCCAATCTGCCTCTGTCCTTGTCATCCTTGTCTCAGGGCTGTCTTTCCCCCTGTGTGTCTCTTCTATGAGGACACGGGTCTCATTGGATTAAGGGCCCAGCCTACTTAAGTAGGACCTCATCTTAACCAATTATCTCAGCAACTGTTCCCAAATGAGGTCACACGCTGAGGTACTAGGGGTTAGGACTTCTGCACATGTCTTTGGAAGACAAAGTTCAACCCATAACAGGTGGAATAGGGAGCAGTGGCGCGGGGGGAGGGCATGGGGCTGAGTTCATATCTCCAAGCCAGGCCTCTGGCTTGCTAATGTCCTGCCCGTCCTCTTCCTGGTGCAGAACCCTGTAGGGGTGGGCCGCTACCTCAACACCTGGCTGGCAGAGACCAAGGACCATCGACAGCGATATCGGTCCCTGTTCCTGGGTGGATCCAAGCGCTACCCCTCAGACCCGGCCAGGGACAGGCTCATGCAGTGAGTGCTCCCGGAGCCCTGGCAGAGGCCAAGGGCTTACTCTGGGGCGGGCTGGGGTTCCCTCCCCCACCACCACCTTGTGCTCGCTTCCCATGAGAACGCAGCTATACGGTCCCTAGGGCCAGCCCAACAGCAAGGCAGCGGAGAGAGTTCAGATCCTGGCCGTGCTGCTTGCTGGCTGTGTGAGGTGGGCTGCGTCCCTTAACCTCTCTGAGCCTCCTTTCCCTCAACTGTCAGATAGATGAGCAGAGGACTGTGGAGCCCCAAATGAGAGGCTCTGTCTAAAGCTCCTGGTAAGGAAAAGGGACTCAACATCTAGGTGCTATCTTGGGTGGCTTCCCCATGCAGAATCTCAGTTTCTTGGTGTTCATGATAGGGTTGGTAAAACAGGTTTCAGGAAGCCGTTGTGAAGCCTAAGGAGAAAAGGCGCATGAAATGCCATGACTAACTACAGAGCAGCTTGCAGATGCTAGCTGCTGCCATATTTTATTGACCTAAGAGGCCATCAGTTGCAATGTAATCTCAATTTCAGAACTGTTAAAATGCGAATATACATGCATTCCAGATCATTTTGTTGTTGGAAACTCTGGTGAGGGCATGAGGACTGGATTGCTCAGGGAAAGCCAACTTTTAAATGCTTATTTTTAGCAACATAATCCTGTTTTGTTTTCTTCCTTGACTTTTGCCCTTGTTTTGGGGGGCTTTTTAAGAAAAGGTAATGGGAAGTAACATTTTTGATAGACTGCACGCCTGAAAAAAAATTTGTTTTCCCTACCTGCACAACTGATCAACAGTTAGATTGGAAATAAGATTTTAGGTTGGAACTATTTTTCCCTCAGAATTTTGAAGACTGCTCCATTGCCTTTGAGCTTCAAGCAGGGCTGAGAATTCCTGCGCCATTCTGGTTTTCTGTCCTTTGTACGCAATCTGCATCTTCCTCTCTAGAAGCTTTCAGGATCTTCTCTTTGTTCTTTGTGTGCTGAAATTTCGTGATGAAATTTAGTCTTAAATAGTCCTAGTGTGAGTCTGTTTTCACCCATAGTTTTGGGTACTTAGTGGGTTCCTTCCATCTGGGACAATTTTCTGGGAAAATCACTTGCATTGTGTCTTTGGTGATTTCCTCCCCTCTGCTTTCTCTCCCCTCTCTTAGATGAAGGTTAGATATCCTGGTCTGATGCTCTAGCTTTCTTATCTTGTTTTTTCTTATTTCCCATCTCTGCCTTTTCCAGCCTACTCTTTGGTAAATTTTCCTTGTCCTTATCTTTGAACCTTACTATTGCCTTTTGAAACTTTGGCTCCATCTTTTATAGTTTGCAAGAGCTCTTGAGTGTTGTGGATTGCTTTCTTTTCTTTTCTTGTCTTTTCCTAGCCCCCAGTTCAGTGTCTTGTATGCCATATATTCTTTTATCTGAAGATAACAATGACAATTTCCCTCAGTTTCCTTTTGCTCCCTGCATGGCCTGCGCTTCTTCCAAGTTCCTTATTTCTTTGACTTGTATTGTTCATGTTTAAGAGGAAAGCATTAAACAATGCTGTGAGTCTGGGTGGGGCTTGTCAACCAGTGGCTTCACCAGGAGTGATTAGATGATGGGGGTCTGGTCCTTCTTTTGGAGGACCCTCAATGTCAGTGTTTGTAGGTGCTTTCTCTGGGACCATTCAGCTTCTCTAGAAAAGGATCCTACGTCCTGGGGTGGGTAAATGTGGTTGCTGGTATTTAGGGGATCTCAAGCAGTGTATGGATTTCCACCTACTTCCTCTATTCTGATGAGGGTGCCTGTCTGCCTGCCTTCCACTGTGCCCAGCCTCCCTGCTCTGGAGCCACTCTGCATACTAAACCTCCAGTCTTCTGCCAGGTGCACAAGGAATGGTGTGTGTGTGTGTGTGTGTGTGCGCGCATCTAACTTTCCCTCTGTTTTCAGCCATTGGTCTTGCACCTGCTTTTTGGTGCCCCCAATTCCTGAGTCTCTCTGGGGTTGTGGTAAGAACTGGCAGGTTTCTCACTGGCTCCCCCTATTGCAAGCAGCTTGCTCCATTTCCCCAAATAACATGTTACACCCCTTGTCCCCTGATATTGGCCTCTCCCTTTCTCGTTTGTCTATCTTCAAAATATTCCTTTCTAGTCCTTTTAGGAGATTGCAGGAGTAGAGAGAGTAGAGATAAATGCATGTATTCATCTGCCTTGTTTAACTGAAAATCAGATGGAACACTCTGAGTGTGCCAAAGCATTTTCTTCCTCTTTCTAGCCAAGGTGGTTGGGTTTATTTTATGGGTGTTCAACCAGGACTAGAGAGGGAAACAACTCAACCAAGGTCACACCGCTACTGAATTATAGAGCTGGGACTTGTATCTGGTCTTTCTTTCCAGGGCAGGGCCCTTCCCATCACACATGCCCACGTGAGGATTTGGGCATTCCTGCAGGGCCATTCCTCCCCAGCCACCCTGTCAGCAAAGCTCCATTCTATATACTGTTTGCTCAGCAAAGGCCTGCAGGGAAGGGAAGGATGCCCCATCTCCAATAGACCCTCAGCTTTCTCCCCTGAACATCTGCCTTCCCCTTGGGTCCCCACTTCCCCTTCACCACTGTAATCACATTCAAGACTCAGGCTTATGAAGTTACAGGACTTCCTTTGTAGCCCGGTTTACAATTCTGTCTGCTACTTAGCTGTGTGACCTAGGACACATTACTTGGAGACAGACTTTGCTCTGAAAAATGAGAGTGAACAAAACAACCCACCTTTTGTAGAGTCTGCTTTGAGGACTGAAGGAGATGATGCTTGTAAATGTGCTCTGCCTATGGGTATGTTGCAAGTGCTAGCATCCTTGTCCCTTAGCAGCTGTTATGCCCTGGAGGAATTCTATGTTTTAGTTATATAAGTTATATAACTATGTATAGTTATATATAATTCTATGTTTTAGTTAGTTTAAGTTCTTCACAGAGGCTTCGAGTGCACATCATCCAGGAAAAGGAATGACAGCAGTTTAACTCACCCTCTGCTGTCAAAAACCTAAGGAAAAATATCTATTAAGAAGGAAATTTGACAGGGATGGGGGAGAGATAGGAGGGCATTTGAGTCCTGAGGGAGGGTAGGGGCTTTTAAAGAGGAGGCCAAACTATTCAGTACGATAGTAAAATGCTAAGGGCTTCTCATGAAGTCAAGAACAAGATAGGGATGCTTGTGTCATTGGCATTATCCAACACTGTTGTGGAGGTTCCGGCAAATGCAGCAAGACAAGAAAAACATAGGAAATAAAACTCTTGAGAAGAGCAAATCATCACAATTTATAATGTGTTTACCTAAAATAGTCCAAGAGAGAAGAGTTTCCTCTGATACTGCAGCCATAACTAATAGAAAACATAATTGAGGAAAAGGAAAGGATCTCATTCTTAGTAGCAACACCAATGATAAAATGCATTGGGATAAGGGGCACCTGGGTGGCTCAGTTGGTTAAACGACTGCCTTCGGCTCAGGTCATGATCCTGGAGTCCCAGGATTGAGTCCCACATCAGGCTCCCTGCTCAGCAGGGAGTCTGCTTCTCCCTCTGACCCTCTTCCCTCTCATGCTCTCTGTCTCTCATTCTCTTTCTCTCAAATAAATAAATAAAATCTTTTAAAAAAATGCATTGGGATAAACTTAATAAGGTATAGTTAAGGCATACATGAAGAAAAATATAAATCTTTAACAAAAGATGTCAGAAAAGGCTTGACTAACCGGAGGGAATACCATGTTCATGGATGGACGGATTTGATATTGGAAAAACAGTAATTCTCCCCATTGATGTACATATTTAATGCCATTTTAGCAAATTTCAAGGAGCTGGTTACGTTTATTATAAACTTCATCTGAAAGAGTAAATACATATGAATATTAAAAATAGAAGAATAATGATCATATTAAAATATATTTCCATATGCATAGACAACACACTCTGGAGAACTAAGCCCCAAACTGTTGCTCATGGTTACCTCTGGAGGCTTACCAGGGTCTTTTGCATTCTACTTTGTTTTGTTTCTGAGATGTTTAAATTTTTCAAAATAAACATGTAACATTTTTATCATCAGAAAAAATTAAGGCAAATAGAGGACAAGCGCTCTTGAGACAGACTATACAAATTGTATGTTCTCCATTTAGACCCATCTCTAGCCGAGAGTCACCCTTTGTTCTTCAGACCTTAGTTTTCCCACCTATAAAATGGGAATGATTTATACCCTACAGGGACATGGTCAGGCTTAATTAAGCCCTATGAATGCTACTGAATGGAAGTCAACCAGCAGATCCCTGTGGGTGTCTAATTGTCGGGCTGGTGCATGATTCTCCCTGGGGCTCTGTTTTGGCATTGTCCATGTAACCCTGACCCACTTGGGCTCTTTCTTGGGTCAGGAGGACTGTGTCACGAGGCACAGCAGGTAAAAAAGTTTCCCTGATAAGCTCTGCCTTTCTTTTTTATTTCTTTATTATTTTTTAAAATTTTATTATGTTATGTTAGTCACCATACAATACATCATTAGTTTTTGATGTGGTGATCCATGATCCATTGTTTTCGTATAACACCCAGTATTTCACTGATTCATTTGAAAAGCCTGCTCTGTGCTTGGTTCCATCCTGGGTACGTCTGAGCTGCTGATTGTTATCAGGTGACCAGAAATGTTCTCTCTTTCACTCATTGAGTTTTTCATTTTCTGACTTCATATTTGACTTTCTAATTTCTCTTTTTTGTTTTCTAAATGTTTTAGTAACACCATTCTCTTATTTCATGGATGCAATGTTTGCTCATACTTTGAAGATATTATTAAGACAAGTTTGCCTGACATTGTCTCCTTTTACCAAATCCTTTTTTCCTCCCTGTATATTTGTTTTGGCCTCAATATTCTGTATCAGAAGTTTTTCTCAAATGTCTGGTATTTCTTGGGCTGTGCATTCATGTTTAACTAAAAATCCTACTGAAAGCTCTGGGGCACTGGTTGACTATGGACTTCACCATAGGATGTCCAAGCTGGGTG